ACCCTACCCCTAACCCCACTAACCCTACCCCTACCCCTTCAACACTAACCCTACCCTACCCTACCCCTAACCCTAACCCTACCCCTACCCCTAACCCTAACCCTACCCCTACCCTAACCCCTACCCCTAACCCTACCCCTACCCCTAACCCTAACCCTAACCTACCCCTAACCCTAACCCGACACCTACCCCTAACCCTAACCCTACCCCTAACCCTAACCCTAACCCTAACCGTACCCCTACCCCTAACCCTAACCGTACCCCTACCCCTAACCCTAACCTAACCCCTAACCCTTTTATTGTGGCCAGCCTAAAGCACACCTGTGCAATAATCATGCTGTCTAATCAGCATCTTGATATGCCACACCTGTGAGGTGGGATGGATTATCTCGGCAAAGGAGAAGTGCTCACTATCACACATTCTTTCAGATTTGTGAACAATATTTGAGAGAAATGGTTATTTTGTGTTTATAGAACATGTTTTAGATCTTTGAGTTCATCTCATGAGAAATGGGAGCAAAAACAAAAGCGTTGCGTTTATATTTGTGTTCAGTGTAGATAGAGAGATAGATAGATAGATCAGTTTATGTATGAGTGTGTAAACCTCCTTGGCAATAAACCTGTTTCTGATTCTTGTGAGAGAATTATTCAAATCGACGCAAAACTAATATTTGCCTCGTGTTACTCACTGTCCAAAGAAAAGAGGGGGCCTCGACCTCGTGGCTTAAACCCAAATCCACCCTTTAAATGGCTTCAGTGTCCTGGGGGAACAGCTATATCACAGTGTCCGTGTTTACAGTGTAATAACCGTGATATGACGATGTACCAGCGACGTGCAGTCAGGCAGGGCCTCACCTGTCATACTCCAATGTAACGGAAAAACAACTAAAGAAAAACTAAATAGTAATAATAATAAAATGTCTCCACTGATCTGTTTTGTAACTGTGATTTATGTTTGATTCCAATCACTTTTTATAGTCAAAATCAGCAAATTAGCCGAGCTCCGCTACAACGACATGGGAGCGAGGCAGGGACGAGATCTGCCTCACCTCAGAATGCGTCACCTCACAGAACCTGGCTGGAAAGCGGACCCTAAGCGCATGCCTGCACCATCTCACTGTAGGTCACCAATGTAATGTTTGTAGATCCCTTTATTACATTTATCCTCGCCATCCATAGTCTCTCAATAACTTATTTCAAATAACGATCCAATATTTAGATTTAGAAAATAACCGAATATTTCGATTAAGGTCAAAATATAATATTTGTAAATCTGACTGTGCCTCACCAGCCATGAACCTCACCGCACGTCACTGCGATGTACTATGGGTCTAACAACAGTGTATTATGTGTGGGTGTAATATTGTTGTTGATTGAGTGTAATAAGTGTGTAATAATGGTTTAACATGGGTGTAATAGGAGTTTTAATGTGTAATAATGGTGCAATAACAGTGTACAATTGGGTAATATTGATGTTACATGGGTGTAACAACAGTGTTATATGGGTGTAATACGTGTTCGTAATAACAGTGTACAAAGGGTGTAACGTGGATCAAATAAAACATGCACAATGGGTATCTCAATCTGTTGTCTTTCAGCAGTAAACACATGGAGACCCACACATCACACATATTTAGCTGTGGCAAGCATTTAAATCATTTCCACCTTTCACTAAAACACTGAGGATCATAAATCTTTTTTTCACAATAGAGGAAATTATAATCTACTAATTTACAAACTCAAAATATCTATAAGTGCAATCAGTGAAGTGAGGTTATTTACACGATGTGAATAATGCAGGTTTTTGTGCAAATGGAAAACAGTTTGACTCAAAAAGAATACATGAAAAATACTCAAAATTCACAAACTGACTGACACCAGAAAGTGTCAGTATTTTGTTGAGGTCTCCATATTAAGTTGAATAATTCAAACGAAAGTTAATATAATCAAATATATTCTTGTATAACCCACAATGAAAATGCATTATATTTCATGTTGTTCTTGGGAGACAGTTGTCTTCACTCACAGGCTGTGCACAGGGGGGGGCTGAATCAATAGAACATGGCCATAGCATATAGAACATGTCTGGACCTGTGCAGTCCTGCACACCGGAGGTGACCTTTCCCCACATGTAAGGTAAGAAGGAGATGTTTTTCTGCACAGCAGGACAGACTGAGAGGGAGAACGCATCGGAGCAGATTTTTCCTTGGTGATTTCTCTCAACTTGGTAAGATCTCTCAACTTGGTTCGTTGAATGTTTGTGTGTTGAATGAATGTGTTTTCACCGACCATTTATGAGGATATTCCTCTAAATTCATGCTGGAATATGTGTTGAAAGGGATGTTGATTTGTTGAATGAAAGTTTGGATGAGAATATTCAGATGTTCCAATGATGTTAAACAAACATTTGCATAAAGCATATTTGTCCACTCATACATTTATAAGAGTATTAAACACTTGAAACATATTCCTCTAAGGTTCATTTAGAACAGATACAAAATGTGAGAATAATTTGCGATTAATCGTGATTAAATATTTTAATCGACTGACAGCCCGAGTGCATATAAAGAAGATTCAACCTGTTGTCATTACGTAGTACAGGTTCTATGTAACGGTTTCTCTGCATTCGACCTAGTGTTAGGAGCAGTGGGCTGTCAGTATGTATGGCGCCCGGGGAGCAGTGGGCTGTCAGTATGTACGGCGCCCGGGGAGCAGTGGGCTGTCAGTATGTACGGCGCCCGGGGAGCAGTGGGCTGTCAGTATGTACGGCGCCCGGGGAGCAGTGGGCTGTCAGTATGTACGGCGCCCGGAGAGCAGTGGGCTGTCAGTATGTATGGCGCCCGGGGAGCAGTGGGCTGTCAGTATGTATGGCGCCCGGGGAGCAGTGGGCTGTCAGTATGTATGGCGCCCGGGGAGCAGTGGGCTGTCAGTATGTACGGCGCCCGGGGAGCAGTGGGCTGCCAGTATGTATGGCGCCCGGGGGAGCAGTGGGCTGCCAGTATGTATGGCGCCCGGGGAGCAGTGGGCTGCCAGTATGTACGGCGCCCGGGGAGCAGTGGGCTGTCAGTATGTATGGCGCCCGGGGAGCAGTGGGCTGTCAGTATGTATGGCGCCCGGGGAGCAGTGGGCTGTCAGTATGTACGGCGCCCGGGGAGCAGTGGGCTGTCAGTATGTACGGCGCCCGGAGAGCAGTGGGCTGTCAGTATGTACGGCGCCCGGGAGAGCAGTGGGCTGTCAGTATGTATGGCGCCCGGGGAGCAGTGGGCTGTCAGTATGTATGGCGCCCGGGGAGCAGTGGGCTGTCAGTATGTATGGCGCCCGGGGAGCAGTGGGCTGCCAGTATGTATGGCGCCCGGGGAGCAGTGGGCTGCCAGTATGTATGGCGCCCGGGGAGCAGTGGGCTGCCAGTATGTACGGCGCCCGGGGAGCAGTGGGCTGTCAGTATGTATGGCGCCCGGGGAGCAGTGGGCTGTCAGTATGTATGGCGCCCGGGGAGCAGTGGGCTGTCAGTATGTATGGCGCCCGGGGAGCAGTGGGCTGCCAGTATGTATGGCGCCCGGGGAGCAGTGGGCTGCCAGTATGTATGGCGCCCGGGGAGCAGTGGGCTGCCAGTATGTACGGCGCCCGGGGAGCAGTGGGCTGCCAGTATGTATGGCGCCCGGGGAGCAGTGGGCTGCCAGTATGTACGGCGCCCGGGGAGCAGTGGGCTGTCAGTATGTACGGTGCCCGGGGAGCAGTGGGCTGTCAGTATGTACGGCGCCCGGGGAGCAGTGGGCTGCCAGTATGTATGGCGCCCGGGGAGCAGTGGGCTGCCAGTATGTACGGCGCCCGGGGAGCAGTGGGCTGTCAGTATGTACGGCGCCCGGAGAGCATTGGGCTGTCAGTATGTATGGCGCCCGGGGGAGCAGTGGGCTGTCAGTATGTATGGCGCCCGGGGAGCAGTGGGCTGTCAGTATGTACGGCGCCCGGGGAGCAGTGGGCTGTCAGTATGTATGGCGCCCGGGGAGCAGTGGGCTGTCAGTATGTACGGCGCCCGGAGAGCATTGGGCTGTCAGTATGTATGGCGCCCGGGGAGCAGTGGGCTGTCAGTATGTATGGCGCCCGGGGAGCAGTGGGCTGTCAGTATGTACGGCGCCCGGGGAGCAGTGGGCTGCCAGTATGTATGGCGCCCGGGGAGCAGTGGGCTGCCAGTATGTACGGCGCCCGGGGAGCAGTGGGCTGTCAGTATGTATGGCGCCCGGGGAGCAGTGGGCTGTCAGTATGTATGGCGCCCGGGGAGCAGTGGGCTGCCAGTATGTACGGCGCCCGGGGAGCAGTGGGCTGTCAGTATGTATGGCGCCCGGGGAGCAGTGGGCTGCCAGTATGTACGGCGCCCGGGGAGCAGTGGGCTGCCAGTATGTACGGCGCCCGGGGAGCAGTGGGCTGCCAGTATGTACGGCGCCCGGGGAGCAGTGGGCTGCCAGTATGTATGGCGCCCGGGGAGCAGTGGGCTGTCAGTATGTATGGCGCCCGGGGAGCAGTGGGCTGTCAGTATGTATGGCGCCCGGGGAGCAGTGGGCTGTCAGTATGTACGGTGCCCGGGGAGCAGTGGGCTGCCAGTATGTACGGTGCCCGGGGAGCAGTGGGCTGCCAGTATGTACGGCGCCCGGGGAGCAGTGTGGGGAACGCTGCCTTGCTCAGGGACACCTCGGTAGCACTTGGTCTTTCCGGGACTTGAACTGGTTAAATGTGTCTGTTGATTGTGTATATTAGGTATATACATATTTTATACATATTTTTATTTTGTATTCCTCGGGATTGTGGGAAACGGTATTTAGATCGCTCTGTACACACAAACTGAAAGATTGACAATAAAGTTGACTTTGACTTTTTTAGCAAGTATTGGACATGCACTCACGTTGAGCTGCAGGGACTCGGTCCACTGCCCGATCACGCGGTATCCCGGCCCGCTGACGTTGCTCCACTGATACTGGAACAGGTCGTAGCGCCCGGGGGCGTCGCCGTTACGGTTGAACGTCACCGCAGTACCGGCACTTCCTGTGGGAGACAAACAGTCAACAAATCAATCAACACGTCGATCAATTTATTTGAGGTCAAATCAACTTATTTTACCCGTCTGAGGGACATATCTGTTTTTACTTATATACATATTCTGATTGGATGCTTACATTACCTGATTATCTTAAGGAATATGTTTTTATTTTATTATTATTCATATTTTCTTATTCCCTTTCTTGAATTTGTATTTTAATTAATAACATTTTTTATTATGCCTAACGAATATTACGCCTTTATGAAATTGTCTTTTATTGACATTGTATTATGTTAATACTATTTTAACCCTTTGTAAACACAAAGTGGAAAGCATGGCATGGTTGTATGCTGTTCATGACCCGTGTTCTTTATACACATTTGAATACTGAAATATATAGCTTTTTTTTTAAGCTTTATGAAGTTCTCTACATCCCAGAAATCACCACACTCTCCAGTAAGTAGAACACTGTAGGTAAGTATGTAGCCCATAGAAAACAAAGTGGAATTTCTGCTTATTATTCAAAACAACTCTAGAAACCATCATAACAGAACCAAGGTCATCTGAAAAAGACTGGTGTCGATGGATAGGTCTCAGTCTCACCTTTCCACTGGTGTGGGATTCATGCATGTCACACAATAGAGTGGTGCAGGAATTACTAAGCATTTGACCACTTCTGGTTCCCTCCTCAACATTTGTGTGAATGTGTTTTTGGATGTTATCCTGAAATGAGGTTAACACAAGCTGAAGACATTTGGACGTTTTCCTCTACGACATCAGTAAATACCCCACTGTTGGATACAAGTGTCTAAATGAGACGACTAAATGTCATCAACATTAGACGTCCTGCTGAACAAAACATGTGAGTATCATAACAAGTAAAGTAAGAGCATGCAGTCTGAATAAACTGACTGCTTTATGTGTAACGATAGTTATTATTATTATTATTATTATTATTATGCGCCGCTTTCCACCTTCTTCTCCAGTACGACTCAGATGAGGGTGTTTCCTTTTCCTTGTACATGTGATGTTTTGGTGTCGTTGTCTTTTTGTTTTGTTTCTTTCCGTCAAGTGGGAAATCAGTATTTCTTGTGTTTCTCTTATTATCCTAAGTTACTGTTACGTTACTGTTGGCTGTGAAAAATAAATATGAAGGACAGACCATCTATTTCTATTTATTTAGTTTCTTTTTAGAAAGGGGCAGGTGATATACGATTATTTTCTTCTCCCTGCCTCTTTTCAGTCAATGGTGAGTTCACAGAGACATGTTTTGCTAACAGTTATTATACATTAAGTTTTGCATACCATGAGCGGAACAAATGAAACAGTCTGCAACAGCACCAGATTACACCATGGTTTTAGTGCCAGGTTTGGCCAGTTTCTAACAGTGTGGTTGTTGTTGTTGGCCCTGCCTGCATTGTCTCTGTTGTTCCCTCTGCACCTCTGGGAGTCCTCTCAAAGACTTTATTTACTTTGGCTCGTCTGCCTTTGGTGTGGGCCAGGAGTCGCTTTCAAGTCGGTATTTCATTTAGAGTAAAAAAAGGCAGAGGGAGGCAAATACTGAGTAAGAAATAGAAATGTGGTTTACAGACAGAAGAGGAGGGGACAGATAGTGCTGCTGAAAGTACAAAGAGACAGGAAGGTCTGCAGCTTCTTTATGAATATAATTTCCTCTGAGTTCCTCTGAACCCTCCTGCTCTGCTCTGTTGAATATTTTGGTTTTTACTTATCATTAAAACCTCACATTTCTGTTTGCAGGGCTTTTGCTTTACCCAACGTTATTTAGTAGTTTCATTTTGCATAGAGCCAAATATTTTCACCAAACGTGAAGAAGTGGATCTTATTCATGCATTATTTATTACGCACGTGTTAGTGCAGCGTGTTTATAGCTCTGGCTGGCGTGTTTGGTGGGAGGCCGACAGGCGGAACTCGCTACAGCGACCCAAAACTCTTCCATCAGGAGAAACGTGCTGCAGCTTCAGAAAGGATGCAGATATAAAAACCCAAATGTTCCACATGAAGAAACATCTCCAGCAACTTGAGAAACATGCGCAGCGTTTACTAAAAGATGCAGAAACCAAAAAAAGTTACGATTTTGATGACTTATCATCCCTCAGGTCTCGAGACGCTACCCGCCGAATTTGGAGTCGATCGGATAAAATACCTCTGAAATAGGGAGGGCGATACATTGCGTTTTCAACGCCAAATAAAAAATTGCCAACTTCCTGTACGTTGTATACACCTCCAACAGGCTTTTTGGTTCGTCTCCGCACCTTAGATATGCGTACGAGATTTAGTTTGTTTACATGAAAGTGGGGGGAGTTTCTGTAAAAAACTAGAGGACTAGCAGTTGAAGGCAAGAGTGAAAACGGGAGGGTCTTGAGGGCTTTGTAAGTAAAATGTTTTATTTTAAATAAGAAGAATATATTTATTTATTTAGAGCACATTTAATTTTTCTGCTCTTCACAAAAATGGACATCTGTTTTTTTGTTTTGTAACCTTTGATACACTCCTTTTAAACTATATGCAAATATGACAAACAACAAGAAAAAAGTATTTTCTTAAATAGTGCAAACTTTACAGATAACATGAAGTAAAACCAGTCAGCTCCAGAAGAGTGGCAGCAGCTGTGTGTGGAATGAGACACACCTGTGTGTTACAGGTGAAGCAGCATCGTTAGCAGAGGAGGCGTGACGAAGCAAACCTGACTCACTGAGACTAACCAGGAAGCAGTTAGTTCTTGTTCCTCACTGACTCACTTAGACTAACCAGGAAGCAGTTAGTTCTGGTCCCTCACTGACTCACTGAGACTAACCAGGAAGCAGTTAGTTCTTGTTCCTCACTGACTCACTTAGACTAACCAGGAAGCAGTTAGTTATTGTTCCTCACTGACTCACTGAGACTAACCAGGAAGCAGTTAGTTATTGTCCCTCACTGACTCACTGAGACTAACCAGGAAGCAGTTAGTTTCTTGTTCCTCACTGACTCACTGAGACTAACCAGGAAGCAGTTAGTTCTTTGTCCCTCAACTGACTCACTGAGACTAACCAGGAAGCAGTAGTTCTTGTCCCTCACTGACTCACTGAGACTAACCAGGAAGCAGTTAGTTCTTGTTCCTCACTGACTCACTGAGACTAACCAGGAAGCAGTTAGTTCTTGTTCCTCACTGACTCACTGAGACTAACCAGGAAGCAGTTAGTTCTTGTTCCTCACTGACTCACTGAGACTAACCAGGAAGCAGTTAGTTCTTGTTCCTCACTGACTCCCTGAGACTAACCAGGAAGCAGTTAGTTCTTGTTCCTCACTGACTCACTGAGACTAACCAGGAAGCAGTTTGCTCTTGTTCCTCACTGACTCACTGAGACTAACCAGGAAGCAGTTAGTTATTGTTCCTCACTGACTCACTGAGACTAACCAGGAAGCAGTTAGTTATTGTTCCTCACTGACTCACTGAGACTAACCAGGAAGCAGTTAGTTCTTGTTCCTCACTGACTCACTGAGACTAACCAGGAAGCAGTAGTTTCTTGTTCCTCACTGACTCACTGAGACTAACCAGGAAGCAGTTAGTTCTTGTTCCTCACTGACTCACTGAGACTAACCAGGAAGCAGTTAGTTCTTGTTCCTCACTGACTCACTGAGACTAACCAGGAAGCAGTTAGTTCTTGTTCCTCATTGACTCACTGAGACTAACCAGGAAGCAGTTAGTTCTTGTTCCTCACTGACTCACTGAGACTAACCAGGAAGCAGTTAGTTATTGTTCCTCATTGACTCACTGAGACTAACCAGGAAGCAGTTAGTTCTTGTTCCTCACTGACTCACTGAGACTAACCAGGAAGCAGTTAGTTCTTATTCCTCACTGACTCACTGAGACTAACCAGGAAGCAGTTAGTTCTTGTTCCTCACTGACTCACTGAGACTAACCAGGAAGCAGTTAGCTCTTGTTCCTCACTGACTCACTGAGACTAACCAGGAAGCAGTTAGTTCTTGTTCCTCACTGACTCACTGAGACTAACCAGGAAGCAGTTAGTTCTTGTTCCTCATTGACTCACTGAGACTAACCAGGAAGCAGTTAGTTCTTGTTCCTCACTGAGACTAACCAGGAAGCAGTTAGTTCTTGTTCCTCACTGAGACTAACCAGGAAGCAGTTAGTTCTTATTCCTCACTGACTCACTGAGACTAACCAGGAAGCAGTTAGCTCTTGTTCCTCACTGAGACTAACCAGGAAGCAGTTAGTTATTGTCCCTCACTGACTCACTGAGACTAACCAGGAAGCAGTTAGTTATTGTCCCTCACTGACTCACTGAGACTAACCAGGAAGCAGTTAGTTCTTGTTCCTGACTGACTCACTGAGACTAACCAGGAAGCAGTTAGTTATTGTTCCTCACTGACTCACTGAGACTAACCAGGAAGCAGTTAGTTCTTGTTCCTCACTGACTCACTGAGACTAACCAGGAAGCAGTTAGTTCTTGTTCCTCACTGACTCACTGAGACTAACCAGGAAGCAGTTAGTTCTTGTTCCTCACTGACTCACTGAGACTAACCAGGAAGCAGTTAGTTCTTGTTCCTCACTGACTCACTGAGACTAACCAGGAAGCAGTTAGTTCTTGTTCCTCACTGACTCACTGAGACTAACCAGGAAGCAGTTAGTTCTTGTTCCTCACTGACTCACTGAGACTAACCAGGAAGCAGTTAGCTCTTGTTCCTCACTGAGACTAACCAGGAAGCAGTTTGCTCTTGTTCCTCACTGACTCACTGAGACTAACCAGGAAGCAGTTAGTTCTTGTTCCTCATTGACTCACTGAGACTAACCAGGAAGCAGTTAGTTCTTGTTCCTCACTGACTCACTGAGACTAACCAGGAAGCAGTTAGTTCTTGTCCCTCACTGACTCACTGAGACTAACCAGGAAGCAGTTAGTTCTTGTTCCTCACTGACTCACTGAGACTAACCAGCAAGCAGTTAGTTCTTGTTCCTCATTGACTCACTGAGACTAACCAGGAAGCAGTTTGCTCTTGTTCCTCACTGACTCACTGAGACTAACCAGGAAGCAGTTAGTTCGTGTACCTCATTGACTCACTGAGACTAACCAGGAAGCAGTTAGTTATTGTTCCTCACTGACTCACTGAGACTAACCAGGAAGCAGTTAGTTCTTGTTCCTCACTGACTCACTGAAACTAACCAGGAAGCAGTTAGTTCTTGTTCCTTACTGACTCACTTAGACTAACCAGGAAGCAGTTAGTTCTTGTTCCTCACTGACTCACTTAGACTAACCAGGAAGCAGTTTGCTCTTGTTCCTCACTGACTCACTGAGACTAACCAGGAAGCAGTTAGTTATTGTTCCTCACTGACTCACTGAGACTAACCAGGAAGCAGTTAGTTCTTGTTCCTCACTGACTCACTTAGACTAACCAGGAAGCAGTTAGTTCTTGTTCCTCATTGACTCACTGAGACTAACCAGGAAGCAGTTAGTTCTTGTTCCTCACTGACTCACTGAGACTAACCAGGAAGCAGTTAGTTCTTGTTCCTCACTGACTCACTGAGACTAACCAGGAAGCAGTTAGTTCTTGTTCCTCACCTGACTCACTGAGGACTAACCAGGAAGCAGTTAGTTCTTGTTCCTTACTGACTCACTTAGACTAACCAGGAAGCAGTTAGTTCTTGTTCCTCACTGACTCACTGAGACTAACCAGGAAGCAGTTAGTTCTTGTTCCTTACTGACTCACTTAGACTAACCAGGAAGCAGTTAGTTCTTGTTCCTCACTGACTCACTTAGACTAACCAGGAAGCAGTTAGTTCTTGTTCCTCACTGACTCACTGAGACTAACCAGGAAGCAGTTAGTTATTGTTCCTCACTGACTCACTGAGACTAACCAGGAAGCAGTTAGTTCTTGTTCCTCACTGACTCACTTAGACTAACCAGGAAGCAGTTAGTTCTTTTTCCTCACTGACTCACTGAGACTAACCAGGAAGCAGTTAGTTCTTGTTCCTCACTGACTCACTGAGACTAACCAGGAAGCAGTTAGTTCTTGTTCCTCACTGACTCACTTAGACTAACCAGGAAGCAGTTAGTTCTTGTTCCTCACTGACTCACTGAGACTAACCAGGAAGCAGTTTGCTCTTGTTCCTCACTGACTCACTGAGACTAACCAGGAAGCAGTTTGCTCTTGTTCCTCACTGCAGAGAGAGACGGACTGAAAAACAGACGATCAGATTCACCTTCAGACCAAACTAACAACTTCCTCTGAGTTCAGCTGAAGGAGAGAAAAGTGGAAACTACAGCCCTGCTGCTTCAACCTGCGGACCCTCCACCCCCTGAAGGTGAGTCTCACTCAAAGTTAATTTCAGTGAAGTCAGTAGAGGAGGGGGAGGGGAGCCATGACTGACTGCACTTCCTGTCTGCTGTGTTTCAGCTTCAGAGACAACATGGCTTCCAGGTTAGAGGAAGATCTCCGCTGTCCGGTCTGTCTGGACGTCTTTAGAGATCCTGTTGTTCTGTTCTGTATCCACAGCTTCTGTAAAGCCTGTCTGCAGACCTGGAGAGAGAAACCATCACGAGAGTGTGCAGTCTGTCAGAGAAGATCTTCAAGAGGAGAACCTCCCTGTAACCTGACTTTAAATAACCCACAGAACACAGTCAGAGCTGGCTGCAGTGGAGAGGCTGCAGCGCCCCTGCAGTTTCAGAAGCTTCACCAGTTTCTAGAAGAGGAAGAGGAGGCCAGGATGGCTGCACTGAGCGAGGAAGAGGAGCAGAAGAGGAGGATGATGGAGGAGAAGATGGAGGCTGTGAGCAGAGAGATAGCAGCTCTTTCACACACAGTCAGAGGCACAGAGGAGGAGCTGAGAGCTGAAGACGTCTCCTTCCTGCACAGCTACAAGGCTGCAGTGGAGAGGCTGCAGTGCCCCCTGCTGGAGGATCCACAGCTGCCCTCAGGAGCTCTGATAGACCAGGCCAAACACCTGGGCAACCTCAGCTTCAACATCTGGAGCAAGATGAAGGTCATGGTGTCCTACTCTCCTGTCATCCTGGACCCAAACACTGCTCATCCAGGACTCATCCTGTCTGAAGATCTGACCTCTGTGAGACGAGGAGGAGAGGGAGAGGAACTTCCTGATAATCCAGAGGTTTGATCATCACCTCTCTGTCCTGGGCTCTGAGGGCTTTGACTCAGGGACTCACAGCTGGGATGTCCAGCTTAGAGACAGCACATTCTGGGGACTGGGTGTGTTAGCAGAGTCTGCCCAGAGGAAGGGACGCATAGAGTCTGGATTATGGAGAATAGGTTTAGATGGAGGTAAATACTCAGCACAGTCACTATCAGGTCCAGAAACTCCTCTCAGCCTGCTGAAGGAGCTCCAGAGGGTCAGAGTGAATCTGGACTGGAACAGAGGAGAGTTGTCATTCTCTGATCCTGACACTAATACACACATACACACCTTCACACACACTTTCACTGAGCGGATGTTTCCATTCATTAGCACTGTGGGTGAAGTGAAGATATTACCACTGAAGGTGTGTGACCAAACACCAGAACGTATAGAGTCTTTAGTTTGAAGCTGGTGATTAGTTACAAAAAAGACACACAGCTAATTACAACAAAGATATAATTAACCTTCAACTATAATGTCAAAATTGTAAGAATTGTAACCAGGAAATGTGCTTTTTAACGTTAAAAACGTTTAAACGTTTTTTTAGATCTGACCAAAAGTCAGAATACTGTCAAACAAAAAAGTCAGTTCTTAAATTAAAGTCAGACTTCTGAGATTGAATTGAGAACTTGGTGAAAAAAAGTAAATATTCTGAGATGCCGCTGCAAACAGCTGTCATCTGATTGGTTGCGAAGCGCTCCGCCGCAACATTGAGCGATGCTTAACGTTGCGGTTAGTGCTTCGGCGAGTCGGCGAGGTCGCTCTATCAGAAACACAACGTCAGAGCAGAGAGTTTGTTTGTATCGTGTGAATGCAGCTTGAAGATATAAAGGCCAAATGGTTGGATTTAATTTAAAGTAAATGTAAGATAAGATAAGATGGACCTTTATTAATCCCCGCAGGAAATTCAGTAGTTTAACAGCAACAGGGTGAGAATAAAAAACGGGACAGCACAGATTCATACGGATGAATATATACATATATATTATTAATATATCAAATCAATTAAGGATACAATCAAAGATAAACATTTAAAATGATAAAATAACTATAAAATAAGAAATATACATATTTGGTCATGTGTACTGTACATATTATGTACCTCTGTGTGTGAAAACAGTGTGTATTTCAGGTCCAGTAATTGTGTTACAAACTCTGGTTTGTGTACAAACTATATACCTGGTAACACTTGCACAGAGGTGTAAAGTAATTAAGTACTGTACTCAAGTACAATGTTAAGGTACTTGTACTTAACTTGAGTATTTCCATTGTATGCTACTGTGTACTTCTACTCCACTACAGTTCAGAGGTAAATGGTGTACTTCTACTCCACTACATGTATTTAATACCTTTAGTTACTTCACAGATGTGGATGAATGATGTGAAATATAATCAAGTGTTAAATCAGACTTTAGTTCCACCTGGAGTGAATTCTGTTGAAGAAAGGAAGAAAATGGAACAATGTATTTTATTATATAAAGCTTAAATATGTTAAAAACTGTGTTAGAACTCTGTATGCCATAGTCATGTATCGTATAGTTTAACGCTTTAGCAATATAAACAGGATGAATAACAGAAATCCTGACATGGGGTTCTTTTAAAGACCTATGTAGCAAAGTACGCACTTCCTCTTTCGAGGAGATGAAAATCTGTTACGCACTTCCTCTTCGGAGTGAACTTTTACGCACTTCCTCTTTCGGAGTGAACTTTCTACGCATTCCTCTTTCGGAGTGAACTCTCATACGCACTTCCTCTTTCGGAGTGAACTTTCTACGCACTTCCTCTTTCGGAGTGAACTTTCTACACACTTCCTCTTTCGGAGTGACTTTCTACGCACTTCCTCTTCGGAGTGAACTTTCTACGCACTTCCTCTTTCGGAGTGAACTTTCTACGCACTTCCTCTTTCGGAGTGAACTTTTCTACGCACTTCTCTTTCTGAGGAGATGAAAATCTGTTACGCACTTCCTCTTTCGGAGTGAACTTTCTACGCACTTCCTCTTTCGGAGTTGAACCTTTCTACGCACTTTCCTCTTTCGGAGTGAACTCTCTACGCACTTCCTCTTCGGAGTGAACTCTCTACGCACTTCCTCTTTCGGAGTGAACTTTCTACGCACTTCCTCTTTCGGAGTGAACTTTCTACGCACTTCCTCTTTCGGAGTGAACTTTCTACGCACTTCCTCTTTCGGAGTGAACTTTCTACGCACTTCCTCTTTCGGAGTGAACTTTCTACGCACTTCCTCTTTCGGAGTGAACTCTCTACGCACTTCCTCTTTCGGAGTGAACTCTCTACGCACTTCCTCTTTCGGAGTGAACTCTCTACGCACTTCCTCTTTCGGAGTGAACTCTACGCACTTCCTCTTTCGGAGTGAACTTTCTACGCACTTCCTCTTTCGGAGTGAACTTCTACGCACTTCCTCTTTCGGAGTGAACTCTCTACGCACTTCCTCTTTCGGAGTGAACTCTCTACGCACTTCCTCTTTCGGAGTGAACTTTCTACGCACTTCCTCTTTCGGAGTGAACTTTCTACGCACTTCCTCTTTCGGAGTGAACTTTCTACGCACTTCCTCTTTCGGAGTGAACTTCCTATCTACGCACTTCCTCTTTCAGAGTGAACTTCCTATCTACGCACTTCCTCTTTCAGAGTGAACTCTCTACGCACTTCCTCTTTCGGAGTGAACTCTCTACGCACTTCCTCTTTCGGAGTGAACTCTCTACGCACTTCCTCTTTCGGAGTGAACTTTCTACGCACTTCCTCTTTCGGAGCTGAACTTCTACGCACTTCCTCTTTCGGAGTGAACTTCTACGCACTTCCTCTTTCGGAGTGAACTTTCTACGCACTTCCTCTTTCGGAGTGAACTTTCTACGCACTTCCTCTTTCGGAGTGAACTTTCTACGCACTTCCTCTTTTGGAGTGAACGTTCTATGCACTTCCTCTTTTGGAGTGAACTTTCTACGCACTTCCTCTTTTGGAGTGAACTTTCTACGCACTTCCTCTTTCGGAGTTAACTTTCTACGCACTTCCTCTTTCGAGGGGATGAACATCTGTTATGCACTTCCTTGTGGGATGTGAACATTTAACCACAAAGCAACAAAGAAGAACACCTCTGACACACCAGCTTGCACGCACAGGATGTAACAAACCACGTGACAAAAGAGGATATAAGGAGAGTGAAGAACATTGGAAATCAGTTCCTCTTGAAGTCAGCAGCTCTTGCAGAAGACTAGACAACCCCCAATACTAACTAGTAGTGGGGCAACCCTAGACGGAGCAGATATAATATATATCTGAGCAAAACGTAGTTCATTATTATTATTAGTGTGTGGTGTTATAACTTGTGAAACTTTAATAAAACTACCTGTTCACCCTTGTGAAAGGAAACTAAAGTCCATGTAGCCCTCTGATTATTACTGAATAAGTGACAAATGTAACCCGTCCCCACATAGCTTGAGTCCTGAGTCCAGATTGATTCCAGCGTCCTGTCCCTTGGATGAGGGTCAATCCCTGACTGAACACTGCAGTCTCCAGAGATAACAGCTGGTAAGTGGCACCTGGTCAACTGTTGCAGAATTATAGTAAGTCATATTGGAGGTCGCCATGATGGATTGATCTGAAATACGGCAGCAGTGCATTATGGGTATTTAATCCCAAGGTTTCAGAGGTGTGTTCATTAAGGTATTTGACTAAAGTCTAAAGGGAGGAACTAACAGGAAAATATAAATAAGTAATGTAAAATTGATGAATGGAGATAGTATATAAAGAAGGGAGTTTATCGGTACCTCGTGGTGGTGTGTTAAGGACACACCTTTTATGCCCGGACTGAGTAAAAACCGTATCAATTACAATCCACCAGCTACCCTGCAGTATACAAAGTCATTCAGACTAGCTGCACCTTCACCAGCTTTGAGAACACTTTCATGATCAATCATTATAAAACATATCATATATATTATTCTGAAATGGACCAATCTGCACAACGACTACTTTTACTGTCTTTCACTATATTTTGATGAGAATGCTTTTCTACTTTGACTTGAGGAACATTTTGAATGCAGGACTTTTACTGTAACAGAGTATTCCTACACTCTGGTACTTCTACTTTTACTCTAGTACAAGACCTGAGTACTTCTACTTTTACTCAAGTACAAGATCTGAGTACTTCTACTTTTACTCAACAAGATCTGAGTACTTCTACTTTTACTCAAGTACAATATCTGAGTACTTTTACTCAAGTACAAGATCTGAGTACTTCTACTTTTACTCAATTACAAGATCTGAGTACTTATACTTTTACTCAAGTACAATATCTGAGTACTTATACTTTTACTCAAGATCTGAGTACTTATACTTTTACTCAAGATCTGAGTACTTATACTTTTACTCAAGATCTGAGTACTTATACTTTTACTCAAGTACAATATCTGAGTACTTCTACTTTTACTCAAGATCTGAGTACTTCTACTTTTACTCAAGTACAAGATCTGAGTACTTCTACTTTTACTCAAGTACAAGATCTGAGTACTTATACTTTTACTCAAGTACAATATCTGAGTACTTATACTTTTACTCAAGTACAAGATCTGAGTACTTGTACTTTTACTCAAGATCTGAGTACTTCTACTCTTACTCAAGTACAAGATCTGAGTACTTCTACTTCTACTCAAGTACAAGATCTGAGTTCTTCTATATTTACTAAAGTACAAGATCTGACAGTGGTGAACCGTCAGGGCCTTCAAGGTATTCAGAGAATACCCTGGAACACTCAGATAAAACAAACAAAAAAATCGATTTAATTATATAAATAAAATGAATAAAAGTGAATGGTATCTGTGTTGTTGATCTGTAATATCACAGTGTTACGTTGATTTGTTTGTCCTTCTCGGACCATGCACTACGCATTTCAGTGTTTTTTTGTTAGAAAAGAAAGCAACCAATCAGATCTTGTTCTGGGTCTCTGGGTAGAATATCCTTCAACAAGGTATTCTACATCCTTAATCGAAGGCCCTGGCCGTTGCACTGAATCAGAGCGTACGTTTGGACTGACAGTTTGATCAACCAATCATATATTGATTTGTAGCCAATGGGCGTGTTCTTTCAGAGTTTCCCTCGGTTCCAGGGTACTCTAGAAGGCCCGCTAGTTCACTGGCTCGAGACAGAGGATCTAGAACTTATGCGACGAAGCAATTCATGCCGTTTTATTGTTTTTAACGTTGAAATGACAAGTACAACAGGTGAAGATGAAGTTGTTGCGGAATCGTTGTGAGTACCCTTTTCAAGACGACAATTCAGTGAAAAGACGGACATTATAATGCCGCGGAGGGGAGGGGGGGGGGGGGGCGGTGGCGGGGGTGGGTGTGTCTACAGAAGGTCCAGTTGTGATAGCCACGGTTCGCCACTGAGATCTGAGTACTTCTTCCACCTCTGGGGCCTCATTTATAACGCCGTGCGTAGGATTCACGTGGGAAGGTTGCTTACGTAGTAGAAATCCAAAAAATAGGTACAGAAAGTTTCCGACATTTTCCGATTTACCAAACATTGCGTACCGGCGAGGAAAGTGCGTACGGCACTTCCTACGCCGGTTTCCCTTTATAAATCACAACCGACTCGAAATGCGGTGCAGCTTTTGCGGGCTTCACGTAATGCCCATATTGGCCTATAAATAGTCAAAGAAACGCCCATTCATTCATTCATTTTGACTGACTTTATGGAGAAGATCGAAGGGAAATGACGACAGAACAGCTAAAAAGACGTCTCACACCGTGTCAGATTCTGGTTATTTTGGGGAGGTGGAGATAAATCATATCGTTTGGTGGATGCCGTTTGAACCAGAGGAGCAGCATGGAGGTCGGGTCGTCACCAAAATAAATAAATAAGTGGTCCGAAAAAGATTAATGACAAAATAAAAACACACAGCCTTCCTCAGGCAGTGTGTTTGTACCGGGGACAGGAAACCCCCCCTTGATGAGAGACTGTAAGAAACGATCGGGGAATCCCCCCGGTGTGGAGTCATGAGACTGGATCTGAATTATGTTTTTGTATTTGGTGGTTTGTGTTCCAGCTGTCGATCAGCTGTGCGCAGCGTCTCCACTGCAGCCTGTGCGTCTCAACACCCCCCCCCCCCCCCCGCAGCAACTCTATATCCACCAGTTAAAGGAAATACAACTAATGTGTTGTGTTATATTAGCTGTACAATTTACCACATATGGTGTTCTTAGTTTCCATACCTCCTGTGTTTTACGAGCGACTTATCAAGTCTTGGCAAACGGCATAAAACACGATTAAACGTGATAGTATATAAAACCATGCTTGTATCTACAACCTATAGAAATGCAACACGGCGTCAGTTTAGACGTAATTCTGTTTACCGCATCATTCATGAGAAAACATTTCATAACAATAACACAACATATTCGAGGTGGTTTTAAATAACATATCCGTATTTATTTATCCAAGTTATGTGTTTGTGTGCACTGAGGAGTCTCAAACAGGCGTTTGTTAAATCATTTTAAGATTGGCTTTAATCCATCCATCCATCCATCTTCTCCCGCTTATCCGTGGTCGGGTCGCGGGGTAGCAGTTCCAGCAGAGAGCCCCAAACTTTCTTTTCCCTGGCGACATCAACCAGCTCTGACTGGGGGATCCCAAGGCGCTCCCAGGCCAGCGAAGAGATATAACCCCTCCACCTGGTCCTAGGTCTACCCCTTGGTCTCTTCCCAGCTGGACGTGCCTGGAACACCTCCCTAGGGAGGCGCCCAGGT